AAATCCCAGACAACCGGAACCAAATCATTAGTGATCTTTGACACCCTTAGATTTAATCCATCTCCTTACATACTAATGCTTTATCCAAAGTGTCTCTTGAACATCATAATCAAGTCAACTTAACCCAGAAATGCAAAATTGCATTAACATTAAAAATAAAACAATGTAGCCCTAGCCCAGTGGCTCAGTTAGTTGAGTGTCCCATACACCAAAAGGTTGAGGGTTTGATTCCCAGTCAGAGTACAAACCTAGGTCAAGGGTTCTATCCCCAGTCGAGGTGTGCACAGGAAGTAACCAATCAATGTTTCTCTCTCTCTCTCTCTCTCTCTCTCTCTCTCTCTCTCTCTCTCTCTCTTTCTCCCCCCCTCCCTCTCTTTTCCTCTCTTTATAAAAATTAATAGAAATATATCCTCAAGTGAGCATTAAAAGTAATTAAAATATAAAAAATAAAACAATATAATTTATCACATCAACAGAACAAAGGAGGAAAAAGTATATGATCATCTAAATATATACAGAAAAAATAAAAAATGTCAACACCCTTTTATTCTAAAAACTCTCAGCAAATTAGGAGTAGAAGGGTATATATAATAAATATAGGTTATATTATATTTAATGCTAAAATACTGAATGTTTTTCTTTAAAGATAACAAACCAGGTTTTACCAGTTTTGTGAACAATTGCCCTGCAGTGACAGTAGTATTATATTATTAATAATAATAGTAGACATAATGACTAGAAAAAGAAGAAATAAAACCATCATTCTTCTCAGAGGACAGAAGAAAACCATTAAACATTTTTAAAAGGAACTACCATAACATTCCCATAAGTTTATCCAGGTGGCAGGACACAGGATAATGGAAAACTCAACAGCACTTCTATATACCAACAATGAACAATTGGAAAGTGAAAGTAATAAATACTAAAGCACTAAGTCAACTCAATGAGAAAACTCTTTTTCCATGTAGGGGAAAAAAAATGAATCTCAACTCTTACCTTGCAACCTACACAAAGACAATTTGAGATAGATCATAAAACTAAATATAAAAGCCAGAACCAGAAAGCATCTAGAAAAAATATGAGAGCACATATTCACAACCTGAACAAAATACAAAACACACTAACCGTGAAAGAAAAAAATTAATAAACTGGATCTCACCAAAATTAAAATATTCTGTTCATCAAAAGTTATCATTTTAAAAATGTGGGTAAATCATCCTGAGAGGGAAGCTCAGCCTAGTAGGTTAATATACTGGAGGAAAACAAAGAGAAACCAGTAGTATATAAATATTTCAGACTCTATGAGTTGAAAATAGAATGTTTCACAACCTGAAAAATTTTATGACATGAAAGAGTCCAAAGAACTAACAGCTGTGACTTAGTAAGTTAGTAAATATGCCATGTCTGGCCAGTGTGACTCAGTAGTCAACACATGAATAATTGGTTGGTCATGGTTTGATTCCCAGTCAGGGTACATGGTCAGATAGCAGGCTTGATCCCCAGTAAGGGTAGTGCATGAGGCATCCAGTCAATGATTCTTATCATTGATGTTTATGTCTCTCTCTCTTCCTTCCTCTGTGAAATCAATAAAAAATAAATAAGTATTCCAAATAAAATCAAACAACAAAACATTGCAAAATCTGTGGCTTCTAAGTAATTTACAGTAATTCCAAACATGAAATGTATAATCAGCCCTACCACAAATTGAATGCAATGAGTCCTTGTTTACAATGAATATTCTCATGTATAGATAGAGTTATGGAAAGTAGACTAGATAAAGGCATATAAAAGAGGAGAAGTAACTAAACTTGCTCTATCTAAGTAGTATATATTTGCAGTGAATGCAATGAAAATTCTGTTTTTATCCCTCATCAATTCTATATCATTCTTACAATAAAAATGAACACATGTGCCAATGCCTAGTAAAAGAAATGCAAATTCATGAACACAGGTAGTTTTAAAAGTGAAGTGATCTTTTCAACCATGTTATTAATTTCTAACTAGTAAAATTTCAAAGTGTTTTAATACCCACAAGTCAATCTAACTTCACATTTCTTGCATTTCCAGACAGAAAGCCAGAATTAGCAAACACTTTAGAGGATTAAACTTGTGATCAAAATATAGGCTCTTATATAATCTAACAACAATTATATTTTCTTTAGAACAGTTAGATCTCAACCATTCTCCATCCCTCACACACCTGGGACTTGTCAGAACACATCAGGGGGGCCCCCAACCCACACTCCCTAGTCTCCAAACCCTTTTCTGAATTCATGTGTCCTACCCTGACACTCCCTCATAATTATTTCCACTAAAATTTTCTATTCCTTGTTCTGTATAGTGAATGATCAGACATCATGAGGAGAAATAACTAATCCGCCAAAGTCTCTGCAGTAAAAAGAAAATAGATGTTATATTCTTTCCCAATTACACACCTTAGCAGTCTTGTTCTATTACATACATACTTAGAGGCTGCATTGGTTCTAAGTTAAATAGCATGATCCTTAGTTTCCTGACTTTCTTACTCCATTTCTTTCTTCCTTAAATCATCCCTATGACAGTTAAGAAAGGAAGCTGGAGTGAGTTAGTGTCATAGGCATTTACTAGCAATGATGAACCAAGGAATAGAGTTGAGTTGGAATTTCTGGCTTGAACACTACCTCTCATTTTCTCCAAAGTTTGCCAAAATAAACACAGCTAAAATACAATAGAATATGTAAGGAAGAATTTATAGATTAAGTTTCCTTAGAGTTGCATAGACTTCAGATATGTAGAAAGAAATCTGTTTTTCACTCATTGAATGACCACATGCATTTACATTAGAGAATTTACGTTGGTATAAAAGCAAATATATTTATTAATGGATCTATTAACTTACATGTAGGACAATCTCCTACCTCAAGAATTTTTAAAATGTTGGGAATGTTATGGCTTCACTGTAACACCAGAAACATCTTCATGAGAGAACCGGTGATAGTTAATGTGGCATTTAGGATCTAAATAGGGGTTAATGAGGTTACTTCTTGAAGCAAATGAACTAGATGACATTTCCCTGAAGAGGAAGAAAGGGTTTTTGAAGACATTTTTCTCCTCTGCATATTGGGACTCTGTGTAAAATATGACTGCCCCCGAACCTGTAAGTTCCTCATAAAAAATGTCATATCGTACTACCTCATAAGAATTTTCTAACCTCTGAACAGGACTGGAAGAGACAACTATTATACGAAAGAAAGATTAAGAACTGCAAATTAGTTGCACAGCTTAGCCCCTTTGGAGTGCCAACATCCTTACCCAAAACACCAGAATATCCATTCTCTTGGAATTAATGAAGGTTAAAGGAAACAATTTATATGAAAGTGTCAAAAAAAAAAAAAAGTAAGAAAAAAAGACAATGTTTTATACAATGAGGTGGACATATAAGGTTTAAATGCCATTTTAAGAAAATTTTAGCCTTTGCGACAGTATGTATGACCTGGAGAACATTATGTTAAGTGAAATAAGCCAATCAGAGAAAGACAAGAACCATATGGTTTCACTTACCTGTGGAATTTAATGAACAAACTGAACTACCAAGGAAAATAGAGATAGAATCATAGGTAGACAGCTCAAGGATGGGATTGCGAGGAAGGGGGAATGAGCAAAAAATAAAAATAAAAGAGAGAGAACTCATGAACATGGATACCAGTGTGGTGATTGTGGGGGTGGAAGAGGATAAGTGGAAGTGGTAAAGGGCATAGAGGGATAAAAGGTGATGAGGAAAATAAAATTTTGGGGATGTGCAGGAGGCAGCTGATCAATGTTTCTCTTTCATCAATGTTTCTAGCTCTCTGTCCCTCTCTCTTCCTCTCTGTGAAAAATCAATAAAATATATATATTTTAAAAATTTTACAAAGGAAATTAATGAACTAAACTGCACTTAAGTGCAGGTGAATATTCATAACATAATATTGAGAGTAAAGTGCTAATTCCAGGTAAATAAATAAATTCCATTTTATTAATGAGGATGATGATTATAATAAGAATCATCCTAAACAAATTATATGAAAGAAGGTAAAATATTAAGGAAATCATGGCTCATTCACAGCAAAATGGTCTTCAAAGGCACATCTGTCTTACAAATTAGCTCAAAGGACTTGTTCATACTATGTACTTAAGTAGATGGTGAATGGCATTGATTGGATCCACAGTCCCCCTCTGTTGGATTTTATGAGGCCCATTCAGAATGAGCCAGTTTGAGAACAAGACCAAGTCCACGTTCTGAGTTCTTCTGTTGGCAAAAATATAATGCTAACAGCTTTATAAGTGCTATTTTCAATGAAATATCACAGAACAGCTTGTCCCAGTGATATTTCTAAAGCTTGCCTGCATACCGCCTACTGGGAAACCGAACTGAAAGAGAAGAAAGAGGGAAGCAAAAGAAAGCCACACAGACAAATTACAGGGAAAAGAACAAAGGGTAAAGGGAGACCAGCCAGGCGAAAGTGAGCACTGAAGGGAAGTAAGGAGCAATGAGATGCACAATATCAAACACAGGCAAAATTAAAGACCATAAGGAATAGAGAATGTAAAGAAAATATATAGAAACAACTGGGGCTGGCGGATAGGGAAGTGATTGCAAGTAATGCAGCATATTAGAGAAATGAAGAGAAAACAAGAGGGAGACACCCAAGAGAAAAAAAACAGTAACAACTTAATAATTGGACTATAATTATTAAAATGCTATGAAAAGAAGATGATGTGAGATAATAGCATGTTTCCTAAGCTTCATTTGTTGTTGTTTTCTATAATATACAAATTCTTTTTTCTAAAAGCTGATATAGATTTCAGTGTCTACCATCAATGCCAAGGGGAGAAAACATTCCATTCCAAGTCCCTTCTTTTAACCTAAAAATCAATGTACATATCATAACACAGGCCAGGCATTGCAATGTCAGTTTTGCATACACAGATTCAGAAACAACATACATTATGGTGCAGATAATGTCATTCTGGGCACTTACCTGGGGTCGAATAACTTTTACAATGTTTTTGAGGGCAGTGTCAGGAGATGGAGGTGAGCAGTCAGGTGTTGGGCCTGTAGAGCTGTTTCTATGGTTACTAGTTCCTGGAGCAGTAATTGCTACCTCAGAGGCATTATCTGTGAATAAAAATAGAACTGCCATGAACCTAATCACTCAGTTTACCTTTTGAGACTGCAAATTAGTTTAATGAACAGGAATTGGGATTTCAACTTAAAACTATCAATTATAAGATCATACTGAGGAATATGCTCAGCAGTATGTTTTAAAGATAATCTTTATTGAGTGTGTTGTTCTCTTTTAGAATAATATCACCCCCTGTGGTATTATCCCAAGAAAGAAGAGTATTATTATTCAGTTAATAATGATAGATTACCCGGCATAGCTGTGAAGACTACCACGATGATATGAATGACTAAAACTGTACCTTAACTTTAAAAAAATGATCTTTTTAATATATGATGTGCCTACGTTTTCTTCATAATCTTTCAAATGGATATTGATCTTTATTAAAGTAGTTGTTTCATAGCTCCAATTCATAAAACCCCAATTCAAACTTCCCCAAAGCATTTCTCTCAGATATCCTTCAAGCTATAGAAAAATTCCCCAGTGAATTAACTTGGATGAGAAACTGACATTTGTACTAAACAGTTGTATAATAAAAACTATTACTCCACAGATAAATATATCCTCCTATATGGTCAAAACTAAATGAATGAGATTTCAAAAATCTAAATAAGTCTTTCCTTATGGTAACTGTTTGGGGGGAGGGGTGGAATGGAAGGATAAAGAAAGTAATGTCTTCAAAATCAGCAGCACATGAAACATTTTCTTCTTAAGTTTATACAAAAACAAAATAACATCAACGATGCCATTTGGAATGTTTAAAATACTTGGGAAAAGATGACAAATGTTTTATAAATAACTTCTGCTAGCACAAAGAGATGTTATATTATTTTAACAACAATTTGGCAATCCTCTATAGCTTTTTATGGAAATGATTGCAAGTTCAAATCTGCAACAACAAAAAAAAACTTCCCTGTTACAATTTTAATTAGTTTCCAATAATGTTCTGTCCTAGACAGCTCACTGAATTGATGCAAAGAAGACTGAGACTGTGAATTGTTTACAGACCAGCAAATCTCTGTTCCACAGCTACTGTCTACAATCTCAACTGAAAAGCAATAATTTATGAAGGCATCTCTTGCTCATAAGTGAGGATATAAAAACTCTACCCCCACATAAAAGTATGATTCAATCTTCTGGTGAATCTAGACATAGGTTTATAAAAAATACAAGTGTGGCACATTGAATTAAACAGATCCATCACTAAATATGCCTTTAAAATGTCCAGAGCTCTCTCTTGACTTCAGTTTAATGGATCAGGTGGGAATTAACATCTCAAGAACAGGCAGGTTTGTGTGAGTGGTCTTCTGAGTAGAACAGAATAGTATGAGTCAATATTGAAAGAGACAAAACAGCCGAAACTGGTTTGGCTCAGTGGTAGAGCGTCGGTCTGTGAACTGAAGGGTCCCAGGTTCGATTCTGGTCAAGGGAATGTACATTGGTTGTGGGCACATCCCCAGTAGGGGGTGTGCAAGAGGCAGCTGGTCGATGTTTCTATCTCATCGATGTTTCTAGCTCTCTATCTCTCTCCCTTCCTCTCTGTAAAAAAATCAATAAAATGTTTTGTTTTGTTTTTAAAGAAAGAGACAAAACATCCATTAGTAAGAGAATGACAAAGATGTCCTGCTTCTCTCCAATGTGTCCTTCCTTCTTTCATTCATTCAACCATACATCCAAAAACATTTATTTGGGGGCAAGGAAGTCAGTTATGTTCCTTCTAAGGATAAATCTCTAGTCAGGGGTAGTGAATAGGGAGGGATAAACAGGTGGAGCAGAGAGGATTTTTAGGACAGTAAAACTGCTCTCTATGATTCTATATTGGTGGGTGCCTAACATTTTAATTTGTCTAAACCCAGTAGACTATACAAACGAAGAGTGAACCCTAATGTAAACTATGGATTTTTGTGACAATGATGTTTCCATGTAGAGTTGTTGATTGTAGCAAATGTACCCCCTCTCTGGTGGAGGGTGTTTATTGGTGGGGGAGGCTGTGTCCATGTAGAGGCAGGGTGTAAATGAGAACTCTGTATTTCTACTAAATTTTGCTATGAATCTAAAACTGCTCTAAAAACAATGTCTTAAAATATTTTTTAAGAAATCTCTGCCCTTGCCCTAGCAGGTTTGGATCAGTGGATAGAACATTGGCCTGCAGACTGAAGGTTTCTAGGTTTGACCTCGGTTATAGGCTATAGGCTCCTCCCCAGCCTGGGCCCTGCTTGGGGCTCATGCAGGAGGCAACCAATCGATGTGTTTCTCTCACATTGATATTTCTCTCTGTCTTTCCCTCTCTCTTCCACTCTCTAAAAATAAATGGAAAAATATCCTCAGGTAAGGATTTAAAAATATATATCTATGCCCTTGACAAGTACATATACAATCACGTGGCCTCAGAGATGCAATTTATAATGCTATATAACTTGAGAATTGATAACAGATCAATGAAGCATGATGAAAAAGCAGGGGAGGGTTGTGGCTGGAGAGGAAGGTGGTGTTAAATTCTTCAGTTTTCAGGCAAGAAAGCTGGAGTATAACATAAATCATAACAGCATAAATGAGCACAGGTGAGCTATTTTATGTTCGGAAGAAGTCGGAGATGAGTTTAAATGAGTTAGAGGAAGTTTTTTAGTATAAAAGTTTACACTTAATTCTGTAGGCAATAAGAAATATTGAAGATATTTAAGCAGGGAGTGAGTGACCTACTAGTAATAATAGGTAAAGTTCATTGGACTGCAACGAAATGATGTTACAGTTTATTTTCCTTATCATTCTCTCTTTTGTACTTTTCATTGTTGTCTCTCTGTATTGTATTCTGAATAGTTTCTTTTTTATTAAATTTATTGGGGTGACATTGGTTCCCAAAGCCATATAGGTTTCAATTGTACAAATCAACAAAACATCACATGCCTCGCTTCTTATATTTATTTTCCAGTTTATTGGTTCTTTCTTCAGCTCTGTCTAGTCTGCTACCAAACCATTTTCTTAATTTCAATTCTATTTTTCAATTCTAAAATTTCTACTTGTTTCTTTTTCAAATATATTGTCACCATTTGACATTTTTCAGTTCCCTAACTTTTTCATGCTTCCCTTTATTTATTAGGAAATGCCAAAGACATTTGTTTTTCCTGAGTTTTTTTTAGCATCTGAGTCCAATAATTCCAATATCTGAATTCTCCATAGACCTGTTTCTCTATACACTGTTCTATTATCTATCTCATCTTTAATTCTTTATTATGTGTCACTCAACTTTTTTATAGAATAAGATATCCAATATTAAATATAATGCTTTTGTCTTTTAGTAAATGTTAATTCAAAGAAGCATCCCAATATACATTCTAATACCATATGCTGAAGTCTATAGAAAACTTACCTGTACAATGTTAATTTATTTAACCTCTCAGGATGTCAGTTTCCTGAACTTTAAAAATGAAAATGATTAATAAGTATCTTCTTGGGTTTATGTGTGCAAATAAAATGAGAGAACACCCATGAAAAATAAGTAGCATGTTATAAGGTTTAATAAATTTGAGTATTATATAGGTTTAATAAATTTGAATTTTGTTTTCCCCTATCAAACCAAATATCATCAGAATTAAAATAAAATATGTAAGTGGAAAGAAAATCCAGAGGGAGAAGCAAGAAAATTACTAATGTGTTTTAGATAATACTAGTACATCTAGAGTAACAACTGTGAGTAATTGGGTAGGATTTGAGGCCAGTACCTTTAAGCTATTAATACAAATTGGTAGGAACAGAATTGAATTCCAGGAATAAGGGATGATCCATTGAGGGATGATTTACTGCAAGGACTGGCCCTGCTGACTGCCTTTGGATCAAAGACAGAAATACTGCTGGGCACTCTAAGCAGACTATAAAGCAAAAGCTTATGAATGTTTCTTACAAGTAATTTAACACACAGCACAAGACAGTGGGTAATGAAGTACTAAATTCTGTAGAAAAGACTATAAGTGTCTCTATCTCCTGAATCCATGATCTCTGCCATTATACCGATAATTTGATTTTATACTACCATGCACTATTCATTATCTCTTTTAGTCCCAACTATATTATCTCAGAGACTTATATTTCCATTATACCCTCCACAGCTCTTAGCTCAATGCAATCCTTTAAAAGTACTAAGTGAAATAAATCAAATGAAGCAACACGTGTGTGTCATTGGCAACCATCACAATGCCCATGGTGACATAAGGAAAGGTGATCTGGCTTTTATAATTCCATGGTCCTTTTAGAGAAAATTCAAATGAAAAGCACAGAACACACATAAGAGTGTTAGGAAACAGATTTATGCTTTTAAATAGACTTTATTATACTACTTATAAAAAATACCAAGTATCTAGTGGGCTCTATAAAATGGCAGCCTATGTCAAAGATGTGCACCATCAACCCCATCTCACACCTGCAGCTACAAAACATTGCTGATGAAAATGAAATTAGGTGTATAAAAACTGCTTAGAGAAAATTACTGAATATATTTCAATCTTAGATTGAAATAAGAAAGATCTTCTATTCAGATTCCCTTACTATGCATTAGATTATGCATTATGATTGTCAGTGCCCTCTACAATAATAAGCTTTAGCTGGAACCTTCTAGTTTACTTGAGCTTTTAGAGGAAAGCATTCCGTGAATACAAAATAACGCATGGGCAGTGTTATAGAATTTTAACATCATTCTTTAGTATGTGTGGAGCAGTTAAAGGGCACCGGAGACCTTGTTAGCGGCTGTGTAGCTGACAAATAGGACTGAGATTGCTTCCAGCTGGAGCTTCAGGAAAGGTGTCATGGAACAGGTGGTGATAAAAGAAGTCTCTGACAGATTAGTACAATTTAGATATAAACAAATGGGCGGTGAGGTGGGAAGTGGGATGAGAAAAAAAGCAGAGGAATTGGAAAGAGCTACGCACATTGGTAGAATAAGAGAGAGTTCATTTTGAATAAATAATATTCATGGAAAGGAATACTAAAAAATGGAGGAGCC